ATATATATATATATATATATATATATATATATATATATATAACTGACTATAAGCCTCGTTGCTTGACGCACTCACGAAAACATATGGTTATATCTTCAAGAACAAAGTACAATCTATAAAGAATTAGACATTTTGTTTCAGACATGTGGACATTTTGTTTTCTTATTGATTGCTTCTAGTTTATCCAGAGTATGAATGGACATGATGTATCATACAGACTATTTATTTTCTTCTGATGCATAATCAGGTTCCATCATAGGAGCTTTTCCATCAAGTGACTCTAACCATGCAAATATCACATCTTTGTTAATAAATGACTTGCAGAAAAAAAGTTTAAGAAAATTGAATTTATTGCCTCATTGTTGCTAAAAAAAGATTGTACAATACATTGTCGTAATGGTGACAAGACCATGCTGTGGGTAATTCTATCTGCTGCAGGTTTCCTGAGATGGCTGTCATGTGACAGAACCGCACAGCTTGTTTCTTATTGTTTTACCCCCCAGACCTGAGATGACAAGCTTATTGGTTACTCACAAACCATGTACACCATTCCTATCAATTCCTTGTTTGTTTAAAGGGATACAGACCCAAACGCCAACAAACACTTCTTCAAAAGGTTCACATTGCCTCTTTAAACTATCTTCCTCGTAATGCCCTGACTATCCCAAGTGAAACCGGGAGATTTTGTTTCAATGAGAAATAAATGAGGTCCTTATTCCTTTCTTATGTTGTCTGATATAGTTTTATTTTTCACTCTTAGACGTGACTCATTCTCTCTTTCTTCCTACAGCCGAGCAAAATTTTTCAGACTAAACTTTTTTCCTTCAAAAAAAACAAAACAAAAACAACCCCATATTTGGGACAATTGAAACATTTTGCTAATTTGTGTTGAATTCAGCAAATTGTGTTGGTTGAAAAAAAATGAAAAATAATTTAAAAAACAATTTGTTTTGACATTTTTTAAGTTGAAACTTTAAAAAAATTACTTCAATTTTATTTTTAAATAATTAAAAGGGTCAAAAAAGTTGGAAACCAAACAGAATGATTGGGTTGATCCAAAACATTTTTTAACGGTTCAGCCACCAAACCAAAAAAATCCATTATTTGCATAGCTCTATTTCTTCTTTACATCTCACACACTCTTAACATTGTCTCCATTGACTTTCTGAATATGCTGCAAAGCCTATCTTTTTTTTTCAGGCTTCTGGGGAAACAGAGGTATGGGGAAAATTCAACAAGATCATTGCAAAAATAGGTGCCAAACAGCCTGCTGAAATTAGATGGTAACAGTCAGAGTGGTCATTAGAGGGACAGAAAAATATTTTCTATATTTAGGACTAGATTTTCACTGTGAGAAGTGCTGTGGGTGGGTTAGTGTCAACCTCTGGATGATTCACTTTGATGTTCTGGTTTTGAGGAAGCTGTTATTTATTTAATTTATTGATTGGTAAATGGCCGATGTTACTGTGGTGGGTCCCGCACTTCTCCTTCATGTGGG